TCTGATTTACTCCCAGTTATTGTTTATTAGTGGGGATTTTCGTCTCGTCTCGTCTAGTTTTCGTTCGCTGAAAAATGTGCGTTGACGAAAATATTTTTGTTTAGTTTTTGTTAACGAAATTAACACGATCTGCCACACACTGCTTCGGGAGTATAACCAGCCCTTTAGGCTTCCCTACATGGATCGGGCTCGCTAACCACTGCGCCACCAAAGCACGCCCATTACCAAGCCCTTTTTATGTGTGCTTTTGATCCAACCGCACAGTTTTCACTACTATTGAGTATTTTGTGCTGTTCTGGTTTAAATCTTTACAAACTTAAAGTCTCTGAATGCGTTTCCATGGCACCATAGAAGTATCTGCTTTCTAAGAGCTGCTTAACTTTGAGGAACATTTGGTCAGAGAGTATGAAATAAAAATGGTTTCCAGCAGTTGATAGAGTAACTAATCTCCTTGACTCTCAGCTGTAGAAGTCTGCTAGCTATTGCATATTGCATGAAACTGTGAAGGATTTGCTCTAGCTCTTGTGTAATGGAGCATGTTTTGGTTGTGTTCACGGTCCTAAAGCTTCTGCCCATTCTTGTTATGAGCTGCAGGGTAGTGCAGCTGTATCACTTAGAGTCAAATCATTTTTTTGGCACTAGATTATCAGGTTCAGAGTGGACTAATCCAGCGAAGGAAGAAGAATCAATAAAAAGCCTTTGATTAAATGGAATTGATCACAGTTGTTAAGCTTTTTGTTGTTTTCCACAGTCTCATATGACTTAATCATCTTTGGCTCATTAAGATTTCTTCCTTTTGCATCATTTAATCCGTTCCAGTCGGGCTAATGAAGGTAAATTTGGAACACTACTTATATGCTGATTGGTTTCATGGCAAAGCAAAAAAAAAAAAACTACAGACTGTCAAAATAACTTTTTAGTCCAGATGATGCATAAACTGTACTTTAGTAATGAGCTTCTGATTCAACCTGAGCTGAAGCAGCCCAGTAATCCCTGTGTTCTCGTTTTTACGATGAGGTCCCCAGAGCATGTCTGTCTATTCCTCTCAGAATAGAAAGACATATACCAGAAACCTCCTCATTCAGCCCTATCTGGATGAGCTGTTTTGGACTCCCACACCCCTGCCATCTCGAATGCCACACCCCCATGACCCAAAACCATGGCAGTAGTCAGAGCATGTACAGATTTCCTCTAGAAGCATGGATTACGACATAATATAAAAGCAGGAGAGCTACAAATTTAGGCAACTTAAAAGGGACAAAACACACAATAAGGACAGATTTCCCAGTTGATTGATTAATTAATTAATTAATTAATTAATTGTTAACGACAATAATTAAAATTTTTATTGTAACAGAAATACAAATTCCACTATAATCATCTCAATATAGAGCACAGAGCATTTTCACAGAACAATTTCAATAAACAAACTAACAAGTACACTTATCTGATGTAATGAACTAACCAGGCTGCTACTGACTAAATTGATTTGGCTCAAGCACACAATCAGAATTATTGCAGTTATCCTGTTAAGAAAAGACAGTTTGTGAAGGACAAAGAATTTTATGCATTTTATAAAAACCACCCACTTATAAGAACAGCTGAGGACACAAACGTTAGCTGCCGTGCTACCACCATGTTTACAGGCGCCGGCTTTGTTAGCACCAGTGTTGTGAAGTTGATCCTCTTTGAAATGCTCAGCCTAGAGATGCAAAACTCTCAAGTTGTTTGTTTATAGTTTTTCATAATATCAGACCTTTAACGCCACTCCTTAACATTTTTTTTTTCTTTTATAGTTTCTGAGTTGATACAGACTCTCCAGCTGTACAGTGACAGAGAGCAAACAGATGTGGTGGGAGACCTGTCTGTCCTTCTGGACGGCATGACGGTGGACCCTGAAGTGTTCGCCTCAGCAGAGGCAGACCATTGCAGTGAGTAAAAGTGAAGTTCTCTTTTAACAATGTCCATGGTTAGTGCACAGAGCTGGAGCGAAGAGTTCAGAGCTGGTTGAAGAGGAGGAAGCTGACACGCAGTGCTTGATGGTGCCACAGTGGTTTTTAAGTACACGCCAGTGTTTTATCTACATTTTTCCACTGTTCTCTAAGAATTTGATAAAACCATTGGTGCAAAATCAGGCCAAGAGCTGAGGGTGCACCCGCAACAAAGAACAAAAAACAAAAAACATATTGAAGATGACACAAGAACAGAATGTAGCCATGAGGGCACAAGGTAGAGCTCTCATAACCGGCCACTTTGTTCACAAGAGAGGAAGGGGACTTGGGGCACCCACGGCTGAAAACTGCCAACAGTGCCACAGCTCACTTAGTTTGCATGGCACAGTCGTTAGGCAGAAACACATTCCGGTCCACTAGCGGGCAAAAGTCAGCAATGGCGAGTGTGTGGGGCATCGGCCTGGGTATTAAAAACTGTATCCAGAGGATTCAGACTCCAGTTGGTCGCAGCTCCACCATTTCGTGGGCATAGTAAAATGTCATGCACTGATTGTCATCCCGTTCAGCCTTTTGTATATGCATCCTTTTCAATGTTGGGTCCCATTAATTAATTTGAACCCAGTTCACCATTCACATCATCACAAGGTGATAGTTTCACCGACTTGCCCACGTGCGAGTCCACTGCAAAAAAATGTTAATATTAGTATGTAATTTTTTCTTAAAATAAGTACATTTGTTCTTGAATTGAGGAGGTAAGTGAGACCCTTTGCCAATGGAACAAGACAATTTACATTTAAAATAAGAAAAAACAATTGTCTTATTTCAAGTTCATATTATCAAGTTATTTTATTTTAAGAGTAAAAGTACTAATTTCATTGGCAAATCATCTTATTTACTTACTCAAATTAAGGGTAAATACACTTGATTTAAGATTTTTTTCTTATTTCTTGATTGTTTTTGTAGTGCGTGGAAAAGCCCGGGATACCATAGCAACCATCCAAACAAGGAAGGTCATTACCACAGAAGTGGTGGTACCACTTAGGGGGGCATGATGGAGCTGAACACAGACAGCTCACATAAATTGTCTGAAGCTCTTGGCCTTAACATTAGCCCTGGAAATTCTTATTCTTTATTGGAGGGTTTAGTTAGGACAGACAATATAACAATAGACTCTTACATCAAGAGACAGGATGGTCTGCGCTCACATCACACAAACCGATAATCTAGACCAGCTCACTGCTGTCACTGAGAACGAGTCACGAGTCATGAACAGCGGTGCCGACTTGCTGTCCAGAGATAATCCCTGCCACAAGGAGTGGAAACTCCACAGCAAGTTTTTAATCTAAGTATGGAGAGGTATGGCCTGGCAGGTTCAACTGTAGGCTTTTTCTCGACTGGAACTCCTTACTCCGACACTCTCCAGGGTACAAGAGACGATGCATGCAGAGATCTTCCAGTCACTGTAGGATGAGCCGTGGCAGCTCTGTCTTTGCAGAGATCTGTTGAGGCAGGCATGTGAAGAGATATTTCATCCTCATCCAGAGCATATGGCTCTTTTTTTCCTGGCCTGTCAGAGGGTGAATCTGACTGCCAATGGGGTTCCCCAGAATATTATGAACTTAGCTCAGAGTGCAAGGACTGCCTCCACAAACAGTGCATCTGAGTTATTCTGACATTTCTGCTGGAGTTGCTGGATAACTGCTATTTTTTTCCACTGTGAAAGTGTACCATGTCACTTTTTCAGCTTGTTATGTTGGTTTTTGGTGTGCCAGGGTGCCCGATGACTACGCCCAGTGTGGATTAGCTTAACCCTCCATGGGATTCAACGTGGTGCTCTAGGCCCCATCATGTGCACCTTTTATATTGATGCATCAGGCTGAGCTCAAAATACTTTAACTTTAGGTTAAGGAGGAGGTGTTAGACTGAGGATCACCACTGTGATGTCAGGTTCTTATACTGGGAGCAAGTCCCTCCTCAGTAGCAGACATCACTCCTGCTTCTGGAGATGCTGAGGGTGTCATAGAGCCGGGTTCATTCCTTAACTTAAGATTAATATCTAAAATAAAGCTGTTCTATACAATTTTTAAGTAGTGTTGCATTTATGTTGTTAAATATTCTAGTTTTCTGTTGAGCATCACTAAAGTTAAAGCACATGAATATGTCAACAGATCTATTTTTTTCAACTTTTGCTTGTGTTTCTTTTTTAGGTACATCTAATGGAGAATCATCACAGCAGAATGGGGATCACACTTTGAGGTAGAATTCACATTTTCAACAAACATCAATTAGTGTTAGATTTCTAGTCAGATTTTCAACTTCGTTTGTCTACTGTTTTAATTTTGATTTTTTTTTTCTCTGGACAGGCCAAGTCGAGACAGCTCTCCAGCTTTGGACAGTGTGGAGCACAGATCCTCTCCAAGCACTCAAAGGACAGTTAACAGCAAAGGTTCCCCATCGTTGAGCGGGAAGCCAGTTCGACCACCTAGACCGTCTAGGCCTCCTCCCCCAACTCCCCGCAGGCCAACTGTTTCACCAGGTACGACGACAAACTTGCTCTCAGGGCTCTAGACTAACTTTTTGCTCTGGTTGTACTGGTGCACCTAGGTTTGTTGTTGGCTAGTAAATAATTATCTAACAATCTAGTCATGATGACATTTTTATTTTAAGCATACTTCCACAAGAACTTTAGTTCTTCTATAGCTTTACTGAGCTGGCATTTAACAATTTTTACAGAAAAATGTAAAAATGGAAGAAAACAAGGTTTCATTTCAAAGTCTAAATCAGATGTCATGGATTAGCAGACCGCGGTCCGGATCCAGATCCAACCTGCTGGCTAATCCGGACCAAACCTGATTTAAAACATTCATAAGTTACCACATGTTGTCCAATGACAGTGTCTAACTTCACTTGTGATCACTTGTGATTCACATGTCATACAAATTAGCCAATGAGCTGCTGTCAGTCTGGGTTGCTGCTGCGAGCTACTTTTAAGGGCTGGTTATCCTCCTGCAGCAGTGTTTCGCAGTGAGCTTGACGCAGACATTTTTGATTTATGCCCAGTAATGAAGCGTGGTCTGCACTATACGCTGTGGGTCTAGATATGGCCTAGGCGGTGAGGAAGTGGGGGCAAGTTTATCCGACAACGGAGGAGGGACATGACGGCGAAAAATAGTGGGGATCCAGGTGGAAAAAGGGTCCCAGCGTTCTCGCACAGCTCGCCCTTCTAGCTGGTCCAACTTGACGAGTTGTTTCCCGGTCATAAAAACAAAACATGCTGGCCTCCTGTCTGCGGCACTGTTTGCGGTCACCTACAATTTGGGAGAGGTGCAGCGGAGTGTCTGCGGAGGGGGCGGGGACGTCTTTTTGTTCACTGCGACACCTACGCAGACGACCTAGTTTCAAAGTATAAAGCAGCCTTTAAACACAGCAGGCAAACCTGTGGCAAGCCGGGCGATTGGAAAGAAGGAGAGGACGATGAGAAAAAGAGAGCAGAGAAAGTGTGGACTGCTGGAAGAACTGCAGTGAACTTGTGAGAGAAAAAAGTGAAATGTTGTGCTCAAAGATGACCCTGCACATTTTGAGAATGTTTGGCTCAACCTGCTGCTGTGAAGCAGGATTCTCCACCATGAACATAATCAGAGATAAATGTCGATCCAGGCTCTAAATAAGCAGCTTGATATGTGCTTGAGAATGGCTTTGTCTCTATTCAAATCCAGGTTTTAAGCCTTGCAGTGCAGCATAAAGCCCATTGCTCTCATTAAGCCATAAAAAAGAAAAAAAAAAAACAGTTAGTCCATGTGTTTTATTAAAAAAAGTCAGTAAATTGTCTATATACAGAACTAAAAGATTGTTGTTCTCTACTTCAATAACCATTTAGATTTCAAAATGGAAAAATTTTAATTTTTAATTAAAAAATTCAATGTATAACATGTATGCATAAACACCAGCATTTTATTTCAGTCGAATCGATTAATTTCGATTCAATCTGTTTTTACAATAATAAAAGTAGTTCAACTGTGTTTCAAAATACTCATGTATTTTAATTTTTCCTGTCACATTCTTACCGATCTCTTTTAAGCCTTTGCTGATTAAGCCCACTCCTATTTCTTTTATTGTTTTTCCTGTCGTCATCCGTCCACATTTCCTCTTAATTGCAAAATTTCAGATTGACTCAGTGAGGCGTCACAGTGACCCACCTGCAGCCACAGGAAGCTGCATTTTGCAGGACACAAAAAAAGGCTAAACTAAACACTGACGATTGTCCAATTTGGCCTGAGTGACCAGCTGTTTTGTTGTCTTCAGAGGCTGCGCTCTCTGTCTGCCGCCAGATGCGTAGCATACGTGTTCACCTGTGAGCACGGGAGACAGATGGATGTTCTTGTTTGCCTGGCGAGCTCAGCTGTAACTGTAAATAACAAATTTCAAAGCGTTGTCTCAAGGTCCCCGAATAAACAATTTTCTGACATTTGAGCAAAAAAAACTGATAAGTGTTTAAAAAACGCAATTTCTGCAGCTATTATATTTATTGAAATGGAGCTAACAGACTGATTTCATTGTAATTTTGACAACTTCCAAAAAAAAACAGATGTAAAGTTAAAACACACTGGCCAAAAATTTTAGCAGTGAACACAAAAAAAAAATTTAATAAATAAATAAAATCACAGATAACATGATTTGATTATTTTATCAGTCGGGTTCTTGTGTGTTTTCCTCAACCTGCTATTATCTGCATTAGAATCTGCTGATCTATAAATGGTAGCATCTCCTTATTGAATACAAGCAGGAGGATCATAAAGCAGCTCTGCTCTGAACTCTGTTGTCGCCTATTTCTTACTGACCTTTTCAACTGATCGTGTGCAGAACTTTAGATTATTTTATTGAAAAGCAGGACCTAAAATAAGCAATTAGAAAAAGAGATCTTACCAAAGTTAGTCTCTCCTCTTATTACAGTGTAAGTCTTATCAGTGTCAAATATTTACCCTGAGGATAACCCGAGTTTGGACAAAACTCAGCTTTGTTTTTAACAACCACTCTATCAGTTAAAGCCATATCTACCCACTGTAAAGAAATACTCCAATCTAACATTAAATAAAATCTGCATGGGCACCCTGACAGATCTACAGACACATGATACTCAGATGACATTGCAGTGCACCATCATAACTTTAGCCTCTTTAGTAAATGAAAATAAAGTAGCTAATCTGTTGGATTAGACCGTACAGTCCTGTTTTGTTTTATTCATATCTTTGGCATTGTTATTGTGTTATAATAGCAGCTCCATCTATCTGAATTTTCCCTCAGCATCTTCTAGCAACGGCTCCGCTCCCACAGAGGCTAGTGAGGGCCATTCGGCCCCTGATACACCAGTGCGGACCTCAGGACCCACATCTGCTCCAGACTACAGTCCATCAACGTCCTCTAACAGGAGCTCCACATCAGGAGCTGCAGCAACCAGGCCTCCAACCAGCAACACCACACCTTCCCTCCCTCCCAGAGTACCCTCCGTCAACCATGGACCATTACCTCCTGGGTTAGCTCTCTTTTTCTAATCTTCACTACAGAGCTGAGAGTTATTAAAACAAACACAGAGGGAACCGAAAGCTTCATCAGCAGAAAATACAGGAAGAGAGGAATTAATGAGTCACTCATAGAAACAGTGTCAGGAAACAGTGTCGCTGTTTTTCAGCCAAACAAAACCAAGAATGAGGATCTGCTTTGTGCTCATGATTCATTCTTGAAGCCATCTGAATTATTCAGTGTTCCCACCTGGAGGTTGTAGAACAGGAATACCATGTAGTGACATAGAAAAGGGACTGGCTACTTCTTTATTGAAGCAACAACTTGCATAATGAGTTGATACAGATTAGATGTAAATTACTTGAAAGTCCTGTTTTTGTTTTTAATGCTGTTTTATGTTTTCTTTTTTCCATTTATTTGTTCATCTCTGTGTCCTCTAGATGGGAGCAGAGGGTGGACCAGAATGGTCGGGTGTATTATGTGGATCATGTGCTAAAGAGAACATCATGGGAACGTCCGGAACCACTTCCTCCAGGGTACATTTTTTTTTCTTGATAGTGATTAAGTTTGTATTACAGATGATGGTTTGATGGTTAAAAAAAAAAAACACACACAATTTCCAAATCACAGAGGCTTTTTAAACTTTTGGTAACTTTTCATTTAACAAGAGTGAGGCACTGACCTTCTCACTCCAGTCCTTTAGATGATGGTAATGCTAAAAGTGGGATTGTCACCTTACAGAGGTGAGATTGCAAATAGAGGGCAGATCTATCGATACAGGCAGAAGTAAACATTTGTCCTGCAACACTTACATCCTGTCACAATAGACTCTAGAATAGAACAGTCCAGGTCATGAAAATAATGAAAGCCTGAAGCCAAACAGTTTTAGACAGGCTACTGCAGGTGAAACTCAAAATAAAATGGTATTCACAATTTTAATTATTTTCATTTTTAGGAAATCCCACAGCCTTGATAAGGATGTAGAAATAATAACAGGGGTTCCGTAGGTCATTAAAACTCATTAAATGATTATTTTTCAAATACAGGCCTTTATTGGCATTAGAATTAATTAAATGTGATTATTGTGGCTTTTAAAATGCTTTATATAAAAAAAAATGTTTATGAAAACAATTTCTTCAGATATATTCTATCAGATATAACTGGTTCTGCGTGTTTGCACCGAACTGCTTACAGTTGATCGTAAAGCCCTATGTTTGCAAAACAAGCTTGAGTCGGAGAAAAAGTAGAGTATGGCAGACATTCCAGGTCTGCCGGAAGTTCTGGGAGTCTCCCTGATATTGATAGTTGTTCACAGATGCCCACGAGTCAGATGCGTTCCCGGATTTTAGACTATGCGTTGCAGTGTTTTTTTAATGCGAGTTAGAGCGTGCAGGCAGTACAATAATTTGTGCATCAGATGCGGATTAGAACTATCTCGCTGGCACAGGCACAACAAGAGAGAGCGGGGTGTGGGGAGGAGGTTGCTTGTGATTTAATAAAATCATAAACTTTTAATCAGGGGTGGAATCTAATGTCTGAAAGCACAGCTTCAGAACTCCAAAGGTAAAATTAGCAATAATGAAATAGATCCATTTTCATCTTTTTTCAGTTCAAAGGGAAATGAAATGTTCTTCTGACTTATAGTAAAGAAGTTTATTTAATAACTTGTAGATGTTGATGACTGTTGGTGAGAAGGATCTTCTGTAGTTGTCTGTCTGGTGTGAAGAAACTTATGATTATGACTGGGCAATTAATTGCATTTTCAATATAATCGCAGCTTAACAAAACCCAATTATCAAATTGCAGAGGCACTGAAATTTAATCGCGCTATATTTAACAAGAGTAAACCAAATTTCTCACTCCTGCCCTTAAGGTGGCAGTAAAAAAAACTAAGTGTGTTTGTCCCCACAAAGAAGGGTTCAGTAGCAGCCATTTAAAATGGCCCTTCCCAGTCAAACACTAGCCGAATGGCAGCCCACTTCCCTCCAACTCCCAGCAAAATCCCCTCCAACTTCCAGCCCTCTTGCATATTTGTACCCTTTCACTGAATTACAGGGTCTGACCAGGAGATAAC